CTAGGAGCCTCAGGTAAGGCCCATCAGACCTCCTCCAGCTGGCTTGTGGCCCAAGTCGTAAGGAGAACCTGATTTGCCTGGTTGCAGAACCTGATTTGCCTGGCTCCAAACCTGCAGCTCTAGTTTTGCCTAAAAGTTTGCACATATGTCCTCAAAGGCCTGGTCTTCTAAATGTGGGTGCAGCAGCAGGGAGTCGGTGGCCATCTTCTGTCACGGGTGGTGTTCTGGGGACCGGGACTCCTGTATGCCTGATGGTAGGAGTCACAGCGTGGAAATGAACAATCAGCGTGATGCAGCTTCTGCGGATCCCAGGAGCTTGATATTATGCAGATATGTATCCAGTACTAGAAACAAGGCAAGACTAGAATAGGCACCAAACAAGATAACAAGACAAGACTAGAAGAACCCAGAACCGGAGCAGGACAGATAGCAGAACCCAGAACATGTACACAATACACGAGGGAAGAACAGGACATGGACAGGGCAGGACAGGACAGGACATGAACTGGGAATACAAGACAAAATAAAACAAAGATACAAGGGATACAAGGCAAAACAAGAGGAGACATAACTAAGTACTATATATGTAATGAACATTGGAGATTTAGACATACATAAATGGCCAAGATGTATGCAGCCCACCACTGCGCCAAAGTACTCCAATTATGGTGGGTCCTAACTGCCTAGATATGCGTGACTGAAAGTACAACAATAAAACACACACAGCACTTACCTGCAAAGAAAGAGGAATGAGACCACTGCTAGCAGGTAACTGAAACAAAAAGGATTAATGGGAAAGGAACGGGTGTGGCAACATAAAACAAACATTTAAAGGAATCCAAGAGACTGGGAATTCCAGGAACGGAATACAGGAATGAACCCAGAAAACCCAGCATAAAGAAAACCAGACATAGAATAGAAAACCAGAAAAACCAAAAAAAACTAAACAAGGATTGTAAAAAGAGTACTGATACCAGAAGCCATTGCCAGAAATCTCCGCAGACTGTAACAGGACGTGACACCTTCTGATTTGCTAATCTGCAGGCTCTCTCAGCCAAGATGATATCCGCAGGCAGATATGTATTGGGCTCCACCAGGGTGGACCGGAATAACGCCTCCAGTTCATAAGGAGCGGAGGGAGAACAGGGCGTGATGCGGGAACCCAAGCAGGCTGGTTTGCTGATATGCAAGGGAGCAGCTACCTCCCCTGCACACTGCACTCAGGACCAGGCCGCAATCTCAAGAATCGCTCCAAAAGGGTCCATCTCAGGTAAAAAAGGGCTTACAGTCAGCACCAGCACAGCTTGTTTCATAATGTGCCAGCCTGTTAGATACATTTTTGCAGTTTAATGTCTCTAACAAGTTAAGTGGACACGATAGTAGGAGTTCTAATGCTAAGTTTCCTTCCAGCTTGGCTGTTGGACCTCGCCCCTGCCCCCTGTAACCTCCTGCCTTTGTACTTTATATCCAACTGTGTGGGCTTATAACCTGCCGGTGATTCATTTGCATCCAAAGCCTTATCACAAAACTCTAGTGTTTATCATATAATAAAATAAAAATTACAATATTTTCAAATATGGCTTCAATTTAATAAACTTTGTAAATGAATCAACACTGATCAAAAAACCTTCCTAATTATTTATCTCTTTAAGTCCCCAATAATGTATGTGGGGATTTGGGTAGATAAATTATTTGTAAAATGTATTAAATCCATGGTTTAGAACGTAGAAGCAACTTAAAAATAAATAAATTGGTGAAATGAGGATCAGGGATCAGTGTTTGTTTAAACAGATTTTCAACCTGATAACGGTTATTGTTAAAATATCGAGCGATTTTCCATGAAATCTTATAAATTGTCAATGACCATGCACTGTTTTTTTTTCATCGATCCTTCATGTAATTTATCATTTTATTCCTTGAAGGTCTGCCAAGTGCTGTTAGTAACAATGTGACAACCGACCATTAACAAACTAAATAAGCTGGATATGTCACTTTTTAATACTATTTGAGTTTTAGCAAGGGGCAGATTTATTTTTGCCAAACTCTACCTTTTTTCCAGGAAACGGCACTTGTTTATTTATTTTTCCATATGATGGGATGAATGAGGTAAGATGAAGGTTTTGTCTAGAATTCTTTTTACGCAGGATTTAGAGAAAGGAAGATTTATCAGAACACAGAGACGCATGCTCCAGAACCTGACTAGAATAACGCCACAGAGGGAGGCCCGGTACAGCGAGGTATCTCGTAATATGAAGATGTGCAGTGCAAATATGCAAAATGTAGATTGGTTATAGGGTCCTAGAGATAAGGGGTGAAATAGCAGAAGCCAGGTCCAGAATGGCCATCGAGCACACCGGACAAATGTCAGGCGGGCTGTGATGGCCATGGCCCGAGGCCGGCATAGGAGGTCACAGGATCTCCCTGGTCGGTCCATGCAGTGCCAGCGTTTTCCTTCTGTATTCCATGAAGGGCCGGTGGGGAGATAAAAGATCTCCCTCACCGGCCCACAGGTAGTTACATGCTGTTGCTGGCTAGGGAAAGAGACCAGAGAGGACCCGGAGGAGCTCTATCTTGCAGCTCTGCCAGGGTCCTCTCGCAAGGTCGGAGCATTGCCACGGCAACCCTCCGGTCTCGTGAGAGTGAACTCTAGCCCCGCAGGCCATTTATGGAGACACCAGAGACAAGTTTCATGCTATTAAATGTGTGTTTATTAATAAGGATACAAAAAATGTTATTCCTTAAAACAAGATGTGAAGTTGTTTAAAGAAATCACAAAACTTTTTTTGTCAAATCAAGGAATAAAACAGATATTGATCCAAATATTGATATACATCCACCACTAGTGTAAAGAAGACAGTGACAATAAAATATATGTAATTAAGTTGTTTTTCTCTCTTTTTCTCTAAATACCTTCTGGTTTGTTTGTCCATCTGTTCGTTACCTTTTTTAATTTTACTAGACAGCTTATTGCATTACAGCTGGGGTGTCACTCATTTCGTATGTCGAAGCAGATTATGCATGCGCTGTCCCTCCATCTCCCCTACTGCACCCACAGTGTCATTGTAGGCAGCGAACCCATTGATTTTGCCCCCTCTAGCAGAGGCTCCTGCTTCCTCTGATTCATAGTGATGGGCCAAAACTTGACCCTGCAGCCAGCCTACATAGAACTACAAATAATGGCCAAGTGCGCCCACCTTAGTACTTCTCTGCTGTCTTTATCTTCCCTTATACTTATACTTTGATTTAATCATATCTCCTAGCTTCTACTGAAACCCCACAGACATTTCAACTGCCAAGTAAGTATCTAAAAATTCCTTACTCTCATACAACAAACCCTGCTACTTCCTTTCTCATACCTGCCTCTCCTTATCTACTACTGACCCCATAACCAACGTCTTGTCTCTCTTGTCTCCATAGTGCTTGTCCACCCTACTCTATATACCCATACTTATTTACTGCCATTCTCTCACCCAGCCCCCCTATTTCTGGAATAGGTTCAAACCTCGTCTTCCAAATTGCCATCTACCTTTACAATATTTAGAAAAATGCTGAATATCTTCTTATTGGTAGGATGAAGCTCTATAGTTCAGTCTCCTTTCGGACCTTATTTTACCTGCGTCTCCCCTATCGCCATCAGTTTAATTAATGTGACATCCCCACTCTCTATCCATACGTTTCAATAGTATACCCACCACTCCAACCCCCTATTACTTTATCAAACCAGTCTAATTCTGTTTGTTTCTAATCTTCTACGTTCTAACTCGTCATTGTATAATTAATGTGCTCATTAATGATTATACTACCGGTAATCTATGCAAAGTGTCCTGAATTAGAGTATTCTACAAAAAAAAGTGAAATAAATAAATACAATGCCTTTTTACATCTCTTCAGCTTTAAGGCGAAATACAACCATCCTTTGTTTTGTCCTACAAAGTGTTGGAATGTCCTTGAATATATGAGACTCCATTATCCCTGTATATATTATCATAGGTCTTTGAAATTAAGCTACAAATTGCAATACTAATTAGTAGGGTTAATACCATTTACCATTCAATATTAAATAAGTCATTGCTGTACCGTTCTAGGCTTTTTGCTAGACACAAGGAAATTGTGATGTCAAACCTCAAGCTACCCTGCAAAGTTAACTAACAGTCAAAGTGGAGAGGCACTGTTACTGTTAATGCGTTGGGAAGACCTTTAAAATGAATAATTTTCACAACAGCATCCAGACTAAAACAATTAGCAGTCAGATAGGTTTCATTGCCTGCCAGAAATTTGTTAAGTCATCCATTGTTTAAGTGACTGATAGTAATTAAATGTGTGAATAGCTCTGCAGTTCTATGATCCTACTACATTTTAACGCTTTTAAGCTTTTTAAAGCGGTCTTTAACATTGTACCAATACATAGTTTTAAAACCTGCTGAATGAGATAAAGCGTACGGATTGATTCCGTTTAATAAGGATATTTTATAACAGAAACCTGCTGTACGACCCCCTGATAATCAGTCTGTAAGAAGACCTCACAAAACCAAATGTACAGACAGGATGCGGACAATGTTTTTGATTTAAAGGGGAACGGTCACTCCTGATGGTTTTCAATATTACTTTTACTTATCCTTACATTTCACAAATAAGGATTAGTAAAGTGTGCAAAATAAAATTAAATATAGAAATTCACAACTCTTCATCCTGCAACTGGGCGTCTCCATCTTAGCTCCCCGTCAGCCATTCTTATACGCTTTGTCCTGTAACTGGGTGTCTCCATCTTAGCTCCCCGTCAGCCATTGTTATACACTCTGTCCTGTAACTGGGCGTCTCCATCTTAGCTCCCTGTCAGCCATTGTTATACGCTCTGTCCTGTAACTGGGTGTCTCCATCTCAGCTCCCCGTCAGCCATTGATATACGCTCTGTCCTGTAACTGCGTGTCTCCATCTTAGCTCCCTGTCAGCCATTGTTATACGCTCTGTCCTGTAACTGGGTGTCTCCATCTCAGCTCCCCGTCAGCCATTGATATACGCTCTGTCCTGTAACTGGGCGTCTCCATCTTAGCTCCCCGTCAGCCATTGTTACACGCTCTGTCCTGTAACTGGGCGTCTCCATCTTAGCTCCCTGTCAGACATTGTTATACGCTCTGTCCTGTAACTGGGCGTCTCCATCTTAGCTCCCTGTCAGCCATTGTTATACGCTCTGTCCTGTAACTGGGCGTCTCCATCTTAGCTCTCTGTCAGCCATTGTTACACGCTCTGTCCTGTAACTGGGTGTCTCCATCTTAGCTCCCCGTCAGCCATTGTTATACGCTCTGTCCTGTAACTGGGCGTCTCCATCTTAGCTCCCTGTCAGCCATTGTTATACGTTTTGTCCTGTAACTGGGCGTCTCCATCTTAGCTCACTGTCAGCCATTGTTATACGCTCTGTCCTGTAACTGGGTGTCTCCATCTTAGTTCCCCGTCAGCCATTGTTATACGCTCTGTCCTGTAACTGGGCGTCTCCATCTTAGCTCCCTGTCAGCCATTGTTATACGCTCTGTCCTGTAACTGGGCGTCTCCATCTTGGCTTCCTGTCAACCATTGTTATACGCTCGGTCCTGTAACTGGGCGTCTCCATCTTAGCTCCCTGTCAGCTATTGTTATACGCTCTGTCCTGTAACTGGACGTCTCCATCTTAGCTCCCTGTCAGCCATTGTTATACGCTCTGTCCTGTAACTGGGCGTCTCCATCTTAGCTCCCTGTCAGCCATTGTTATACGCTCTGTCCTGTAACTGGGCGTCTCCATCTTAGCTCCCTGTCAGCCATTGTTAAACGCTCTGTCCTGTAACTGGGCGCCTCCATCTCAGCTCCCCGTCAGCCATTGTTATACGTTCTGTCCTGTAACTGGGCGTCTCCATCTTAGCTCCCTGTCAGCCATTGTTATACGCTCTGTCCTGTAACTGGGTGTCTCCATCTCAGCTCCCCGTCAGCCATTGTTATACGCTCTGTCCTGTAACTGCGTGTCTCCATCTTAGCTCCCCGTCAGCCATTGTTACACGCTCTGTCCTGTAACTGGGCGTCTCCATCTTAGCTCCCTGTCAGACATTGTTATACGCTCTGTCCTGTAACTGGGCGTCTCCATCTTAGCTCCCTGTCAGCCATTGTTATACGCTCTGTCCTGTAACTGGGTGTCTCCATCTTAGCTCCCTGTCGGCCATTGTTATACGCTCTGTCCTGTAACTGGGTGTCTCCATCTTAGCTCCATGTCAGCCAATGTTATACGCTCTGTCCTGTAACTGGGCGTCTCCATCTTAGCTCCCCGTCAGCCATTGTTATACGCTCTGTCCTGTAACTGGGCGTCTCCATCTTAGCTCCCGTCAGCCATTGTTATACGCTCTGTCCTGTAACTGGGCGTCTCCATCTTAGCTCCCCGTCAGCCATTGTTATACGCTCTGTCCTGTAACTGGGCGTCTCCATCTTAGCTCCCTGTCAGCCATTGTTATACGCTCTGTCCTGTAACTGGGCGTCTCCATCTTAGCTCCCTGTCAGCCATTGTTATACGCTCTGTCCTGTAACTGGGTGTCTCCATCTTAGCTCCCCGTCAGCCATTGTTATACGCTCTGTCCTGTAACTGGGCGTCTCCATCTTAGCTCCCTGTCAGCCATTGATATACGCTCTGTCCTGTAACTGCGTGTCTCCATCTTAGCTCCCCGTCAGCCATTGTTATACTCTCTGTCCTGTAACTGGGCGTCTCCATCTTAGCTCCCCGTCAGCCATTGTTATACGCTCTGTCCTGTAACTGGGCGTCTCCATCTTAGCTCCCCGTCAGCCATTGATATACGCTCTGTCCTGTAACTGCGTGTCTCCATCTTAGCCTGTCAGCCATTGTTAAACGCTCTGTCCTGTAACTGGGCGCCTCCATCTCAGCTCCCCGTCAGCCATTGTTATACGTTCTGTCCTGTAACTGGGCGTCTCCATCTTAGCTCCCTGTCAGCCATTGTTATACGTTTTGTCCTGTAACTGGGCGTCTCCATCTTAGCTCCCCGTCAGCCATTGTTATACGCTCTGTCCTGTAACTGAGTGTCTCCATCTTAGCTCTCTGTCAGCCATTGTTATACGCTCTGTCCTGTAACTGGGCGTTGCCATCTTAGCTCCCTGTCAGCCATTGTTATACGTTTTGTCCTGTAACTGGGCATCTCCATCTTAGCTCCCTGTCAGCCATTGTTATACGCTCTGTCCTGTAACTGGGCGTCTCCATCTTAGCTCCCTGTCAGCCATTGTTATACGCTCCGTCCTGTAACTTGCCGCCTCCATCTTAGCTCCCCGTCAGCCATTGTTATACGCTCTGTCCTGTAACTGGGCGTCTCCATCTTAGCTCCCTGTCAGCCATTGTTATAAACTCTGTCCTGTAACTGGGCGTCTCCATCTTAGCTCCCCGTCAGACATTGTTATACGCTCTGTCTTACAATGCTGTTCAGCTTTTGGGACAATTTGCCAATACAGGAAAAATATAATATCTAACATGATATAATATATCATGTATATTATAATATAAATGTATATTAATTTTTTTCTTGACATCACATTTTTTTCCGAACTCAACTATTGTTAGACGAGGACTAAGAATTTCCCAAGTTAATTAGAACTCTAGTGATTTGGGGAATAGCCCTACATGTGAACCTGTGTATCAATCAGGTGGTAAGGGGTAAACCACGAGGACAGAGTCATGTAAAATGAAGTGGAGAATTCACAAGATTGGGTAGAGCCATTCAATGAAGTTCTCTGGTGCCAACTGTGACAAGAGGACAGAGTTCTGAAATGGAGACCCAGTAACAAGTTACCTCATCAGACACTGTGTTACAAGTTACCACATATGGCCATGTCTCTATTGGAGGGAAAAAACTGTAACATTTACAATAGAAAGTGATAGATTTTTTTATATGACAGAATAAAAATATTGTATAAAGTTTATTGAAAAAGAAATATTTAAAATTGGGTTGTTTCCTTGAGAATGGGGGAAGACTGTACTTTATGTTGTGACTCACAGCAATCCCTTGTTTGAAATATCTAAAGGAAAAAAGAATCACTTTCTCCGCCTCCCGGAGAGCAGCCGGGGTGATTTCAGAGATATTTTGTCTGTCAGGATATGGAGTTGTGTTTTAGTTGCACTTTTGAAGATGCGTCATAATCTTAAACTATTATTCCATTAAAATACATTACTGTAGGACCAAAATGGTTACAAAGATCCTTTTAGAGGAACAGCACAATGCAAATAAGCTATCGGAATGCTCTAAATGTCAGTCTATGTACATCAACTTTCCATTATAAACAGGGTAAATAAATCTGCCAAGCCTGGAGGGAAGTACATTTCAATATCTTTAGATTTACAGGAAATGGACTAACCAGGGTGGGGAATGATAAAATCAACAGGCAAATAGAAACTTGCAAGCACATACTATACAGGCACAAGACACAATTTCTCTTAAAATGTCCCGATTCCTACATTTCTTTTTCTTACCAGCTACTAAAACCGATCTATATTTTGTGTAGGTAAAATCACTGTTCTTTTTGTAAGCCGTGTTCTATGCGAACCCAAAGTATAGCTTTTTTTTTTTGGTTGTTTTTTTGAGGGGGGGACTGGAGGAGCTTGAGGCTTAAACACATATTGGCTCAACACAACATACAGCCATCAGCCCCAACAGACAGGAGAGGCATTATCCAGGTGTACTTGGGAACAAGGAAAGTCATAAAACCACTAGCACTCTGCTGTAGAGCACTACAGGAACACGCCAAACCCATACAATTCTTATAGAAAATTGGGCAGACTACATGGGCCGAATGGTTCTTATCTGCCATCATATTCTATGCTTCTATGTTTCTATACATGCTCAAATGGGAGGAAGAAATTAACACTCAATTCTCAACCAAGCTGGGGCTCAGAGCAATGAGGGATAACAAACAGGTGACAAGATGTTTAGACCACATTGAAGCGACATACAAAGTATGGATGAGATGGTATATGACACCGCATAGGCTAGCTCCCATTTTTACCAAATGCTGGAAGTGTGAGGACCAGGTGGGGACCATCGGCTATGTGTTCTGGCACTGCAAGATAATGCGCCCATTTTGGGATAATATAAAACATCGGGGATTTCACTTCCACTCCAAATAGAAATGTGTATATTTACATATGTGTAATGGGCCGTTTTTGCACACAAGAGGTTAAAAACCGTTTAGGCGATATTGCCCTTTTAAATACACAAACAGCTGCTGCAATCACCAATCTCCCGAATTGCAAACACATGTATACTCAAATTCCCGAACAGGAAACACACAAATTTACCAACTCCCGAACAGGAAACACACAAATTCACCAACTCCCGAACAGGAAACACACGAATGCTGTTAAACAGCCGAACAGGAAAAACCATACGAACAACTTACACTCCTGGCAGTCACACTGTAACAGCATACAATCCAATTCCCCTCAAGAATGAGACAACACTTCATTTGAGGGTCAAGCAGAACTGATTTACTGGGGCTACCTGCCCGGCTTTTATGCAGGTCTCCCACCTGGTGGACACTCCCCTAGCGTACCAGATGGAAGACTGGGAAACATATTGGACATTGACCAATCACAGACATACACCTTTAAACACTCCCACAATGCATCACAATTGCTCCTCTCTGTCCTGGAGATAATTGGGAAGTAATCCAATTATCTCCAAGGACAGAGGCAAAACTCCATTAACCACATGGCAGACAAAGGACAATAAAAGACATAAAATTACATACTTTTACATTTATCACATAGAACATACACATTCTACCTATCCCCAGATAGCTTAGATCTGAGCGCACATTATTACATACAGTTCAATCGCCATGGAGCCAAAGTCTTTCAGTATACGGCTGGGCTCCATGGCATAGCTATCCGGGTAGCATGGTTTAAACAGTAAAGTACCGAATGGACCGTTGTTCGGATAATTGACTGCAGGTAAGAGAAGGGAGGTCGGCGGCTCAGCGGTGTTCGTGACTTTAACAGTCCGCAGAAAGGCACGAACCAACCTTTCTGCAGGGAAAAAGAACAGTGTTAAACATGGAGCCATAGTCCAGTGGCAGGAGGCGGGCGACCAGGCTCCTCCAGTGACCAGTGGCGAGGTTGGGTCCGCCACAATATGCTACCTGCCCATGTAAACAAATCGATGATTAAGATCATCATTCACATGCTGATAGCAGCTAAAAGCAGTATCGCCACTTTCTGGAGGAATAAGCATCCCCCCCCGGCTGTCATTGGTGATGGAGAAATTAAACTCCACAAGGATATATGAGGAAATGAGCAATAGACTACACAATATCCTACAAGTTCATGACTACATATGGGTCAATTGGCAAGCAGGCTTATGCCCTGTAGAAGAAGTAATTGACCCGTAGGGCAGCCTGTCTTATAAAACATACCCCACCTGCATGGGCAGAAAAATGCTGATGGTCCTACACGTTACAGGGTATATGAAATGCTGATGGTCCTACACGTTACAGGGTATATGAAATGCTGATGGCCCTACACGTTACAGGGTATATGAAATGCTGATGGTCCTACACGTTACAGGGTATATGAAATGCTGATGGTGCTACACGTTACAGGGTATATGAAATGCTGATGGTCCTACACGTTACAGGGTATATGAAATGCTGATGGCCCTACACGTTACAGGGTATATGAAATGCTGAATGCCTTACACGTTACAGGGTATATGAAATGCTGATGGTCCTACACGTTACAGGGTATATGAAATGCTGATGGTCCTACACGTTACAGGTTATATGAAATGCTGATGGTCCTACACGTTACAGGGTAAATGAAATGCTGATGGTCCTACACGTTACAGGGTATATGAAATGTTGATGGCGCTACACGTTACAGGGTATATGAAATGCTGATGGTCCTACACGTTACTGGGTATATGAAATGCTGATGGTCCTACACGTTACAGGGTATATGGAATGCTGATGGTCCTACACGTTACAGGGTATATGGAATGCTGATGGTCCTACATGTTACAGGGTATATGGAATGCTGATGGTCCTACACGTTACAGGGTATATGAAATGCTGATGGCCCTACACGTTACAGGGTATATGGAATGCTGATGGTCCTACACGTTACAGGGTATATGGAATGCTGATGGTCCTACACGTTACAGGGTATATGGAATGCTGATGGTCCTACACGTTACAGGGTATATGGAATGCTGATGGTCCTACACGTTACAGGGTATATGGAATGCTGATGGCCCTACACGTTACAGGGTATATGGAATGCTGATGGCCCTACACGTTACTGGGTATATGGAATGCTGATGGTCCTATACGTTACAGGGTATATGGAATGCTGATGGTCCTACACGTTACAGGGTATATGAAATGCTGATGGCCCTACACGTTACAGGGTATATGGAATGCTGATGGTCCTACACGTTACAGGGTATCTGAAATGCTGATGGTCCTACACGTTACAGGGTATATGGAATGCTGATGGTCCTACACGTTACAGGGTATATGGAATGCTGATGGCCCTACACGTTACAGGGTATATGGAATGCTGATGGTCCTACACGTTACAGGGTATATGGAATGCTGATGGTCCTACACGTTACAGGGTATATGGAATGCTGATGGTCCTACACGTTACAGGGTATATGGAATGCTGATGGCCTACACGTTACAGGGTATATGGAATGCTGATGGTCCCTACACGTTACACGGGTATATGGAATGCTGATGGTCCTACACGTTACAGGGTATATGGAATGCTGATGGTCCTACACGTTACAGGGTATATGGAATGCTGATGGTCCTACACGTTACAGGGTATCTGAAATGCTGATGGCCCTACACGTTACAGGGTATATGAAATGCTGATTGGGTACGATTTACAATATGCAGTGACTTTTGGTTTTGGCTTTATAATGTTTGCTTATTTGTTGTCCTTCTGATCATTTCAAGATCAGCTGATGTGTACTATATGCTACATGATGCAATTAGCAATATTCTGACTAAAGACATAAAATTATTATTATTGGGTACAGAATAGTCCATTTTAGCTCATAGAAAAAGTTGTACTCATACAATACTGTAATATATCTTGGATGGTACGTCTTGTAACCGACTACTTCTAGCGATTGTTAAATACGGGGTGAGTCCACTAATCTCCTGCTGTTTTCATGACTGCACCGTGAATGTATTTATGTACTCTTTTATGAAAATTTTAAAAATGGGAAAAAAAACATAAAAAATAGTTTAATGCTGATGAAAGGACAGTGCCAGGGGACTCCAGACACTATAACCACTTCAATAAAAGGGAGCAGTTACGCTAACAGTGCCCTTTTAAAACCACCCATTACCAGGAGTGACCAGGGGAATCAATTCATCAA